AATATATCAAATTAGCTTATCTTTTAAAATTCAAGAAAGTTTACTATGAAATGGGATACCACATAAGTTGGTATCTTGTCCAGCAATATTATTACAACTCAACAAAAGATGACATTTCATCAGCTAAAAAGACACATAAGCTAACAGAGAATTTCTCTGGCACAAACTTTCTCTCTCCTGCGCTTTTCTCATCTCTCTCTTCTCTATCTTCTTCGGTTCTTCCCCTCATCTTCACTCTCTCCTCCACAAAATTCCTCCCTTTAGAAGAATATGTATCAGAAATAAAGAAGAATTTTATATTAGTAAACTCAATTGGATCTTGAATATCATTAATTATCTTATTGCAATATTTCGTTCGATTTTATCTTGCTTTCTCAATTCTTGATATTTATATAAATCTGTTTAATTTCGTATCTCTTGATCATGATGGTGATAGACATTGTATTTAATTGAAATCTAGCAACTCAGTTTATTAGAAAATATGGAATTATGGAATTACTGTACATACAGGAGGTGATTATTTCTCCTGTTGATGATGTTAAGAACATATGAAATGAAGAACTTTTGTGTTTTTGATTCTTGATTTTTGTTCAAATAAGTCAACGTTAAGAAATGCCTAGATGTTGATTCAATTTTGAAACCATAAAATTTAAAGTTTTCGTTTATTTAGTCATCTGACAATTTTCATTAAAAAAACCATCTGAAATTTTTTAACGTGTGGGATAATTAGAGAAATTAAGAAACTTTTTTTCAAATTGGAATATAAAAGTGGTTTTATGGGTACAGTTCATGTTGTTTAGGATACCCAAGTTTAAGATATAGCTAGTAGTATTATCTCTGCGAAAAGAACTCAAATTTCATATCAACAAAATTTGAATGGGTTCTCCAATTTACATAAATCCAAGCATAGAGTTTGTCTTTTCTCCTAAATCCCAGACTTTTTTTTTTTTTAACAGTAGGAAATTCTAGATTAGGTTAGTATTTGTTTCTTAGGAGAGTTGAACCTATGATCAGCGTGCATTTCACTTGCTGCTCAATGGGCAACGTGACCACCACTAGGCCACACGAGGGATTGCTAAATCCCAGACTTAAAAACCAACCACACTACAACATTTTTGTCATTTAGTTACGGACAAAAACAGTAGATATATGATAAAAATCTGTAGGTATCTACCTCTCAAAACTTATACCTATAGTAAAAAAAGTGTAAGTATATGTCCTATAACTATAGATATCTAACTACACTTTTGATCGTATTCTTACACTTTTACGTTTTGTAAGTAAAGATTTAATAAGTTTATACCCACATCTAAAATACCATAGGTAAAGAGAAATACCTACGCTTATGAGCCATATGTAAATACTAATGACAACAACAAAATGGTAGTTATGTGATTACCTTTTAGTTTTACTATTTATCGTTGTCAAAAATATTATTTAACAACATCATAAATTGTTACCAAAAATTATATTTTGCAACAATCATAATTATTTCTTAAAATAATATTTAGAAACAACAAGTTGTCGTTAAAAGTAATATAAAAAAACAACTTCAATTATTATTTAAAGAAGTATTTGTAATAATAAAAGTTATTATTAAAGATGTATTTCGTAACAATATTAGTTGTTGCTAAAAGAGATTTTTTCTAACTATTTTAATTGTTTCATAAAATAATATTTTGCTATGGAATTAATTGTTGTGGTAACCAATATTTCACAATGAGTAATTGTTGGGGAATAAATGTTTTAGCAACAACTGAAATTATTAAAAACTGTATTTTTAACAACAATTGTTGTAACAAAATATTGTTTAACAAAACAATTCACAATCATTAGAAAATGCCTCTTTTAGTGATAACTAAATTTTTGCAATGACTTTGGTCATTGTAAATATTTTTAAAATATATTAGTTGCTATTAATAAATATTTTCTAAATTCTTAAGATTTAAAACTTATTATAAAGAATTTAATTTCAATTTAAAAATATTTTCAAACATAACAAAATATAGATATTTTTAAAGAATAACAAGTACGTAATTTCATTTAAATTTTCTAAAAAGAATGCAAGATACATGGCCTAATATGAAAAAAATACAACAAATGTCCCAAGCATCTCCATGGAAATCCCATACCACTCTTATACTATTTATTGTCTACCACATTGAATAAGCCCTAAAAATTTCCCTATACACTCTATAATCTGAACCTGTGTAAGACTCATGCTTTAAAAATATTCTAGCGAAAACAACCTTTCTTTGTAGATCAATTATACAGTCATGATCATCTGTACCTGTGTAAGACTCATGCCTTAAAAATATTCTAGTGAAAACAACCTTTCTTTGTAGATCAATTATACAGTCATGATCAGCACCTTGCATAGATTCCTAGTTCTATTGTTCCTCAATCCACAAATTCTCCTAAGCCTCCTCCATTCAACTTCCCTGCTACTAGCTATGAATCCCAAACTTACTGAGCAGCCATCAAAATATATGTGAGAACAACTTTCCTCTGCAACACCACACAAAATATGAGTTAGGACTCTAAGCCTTTTTTCTTTTTTCTTTTTCTTTTTTTTTTTTTCCTTAAACAAGGCATAAGAGCATTGAGAAAAGAAGGTAAAGGCATTAGAAAGAAAAAAACTTAACAAGCAATATGAATGTTGGTAAAAAAAAAAAAAAACAGGTACTATAAACTCTAAGGTTAACATGATTTCAGTTGCAGTTAAGATATAAGGAATATCACATTAAGAGAGCAATGACAAAATAAGATAACTACTACGATAAATCATAGAGAATTAGCAAAATGAGCAAGAAAAGTCTTGATCTCAACACCTTCTATTTCAATTTCATGAGGGCTTATTCTTTTGATGAAAGACACTAGAATGTTCATCCTAAAAATCTTACTTCCAACTTTTGGATGAAATTTAGTATTACTATGTACACTATTTATATAAACGCCGAAGGTTCTAGAGCTTGCATCTAGAATTAAGGTAGTTTCATAGGGCAATGGAAAACTTTTCTATCTTTTTCATGGAAAATGAGAAACCTTTTAATTACCACGCACTCAAACTAATTAACAGCAATAACATTAAATTAACCCTACAAGGTGAGGTAAAAGCATGGATGATAGAAATAAAAAAAAAATACAATATTTGACTAGAGAGTAAACAAGAGGATCTAATATAAAAAGACATTAAATTAGATATAAAATTAAAATAAAACATTTTTATGTAGTTCAGGCAGAACAACTTAGTAGATATAAAAAGCATAACAATGTACAGAACAAAACATACCAACAAAATAGGATCCATATGGCGTACTTAACCCCATTAACCTTCAAGAGCAGAACACAAATCCCATTTTCAACGAAACAATTGGACATAGTAATGACCACAAAATAAAAGGGAAAATCTCATAACATAGAATACAATGGAGAAGCAAATGAAGACATGATTAATCTTAACCAAAAAGTTTTAAATATTTATATTTATTCCCTTGTCTTTGATTTCTTTATATTAGTAAGCATGCAATATCATTGGAATTAATAAGCTTTGGCATT